GGAAGTCTGCCATGGCTCAGAGAAGAGAGACACCAAAAACTGAGGCGCTAGCAGCTGCAAGAGCCAATGGCGAGAAGAGATGTGTGGGTTGGGGGGTATGTGAGGATGTGTGGGTGAGGACGCACATGTGGAAGTCAGAGGACAACGCTGGGTACCATTCTTCAGGTGCTTTCCTCCTTTTGTTTGAGAGAAGTCTTCCACTGGCCAGGAACTTCACCAGACTAAGCGGCTCAGTGAGCTTTCAGGGATCTGCTGTCTCTGCTCCCCGAGAGCTGGGATTACAGGTGCACGCTACTGCGGATGTCTTTTTACTTGGGTACTTGGGATCCTCCTGCTTGCAAGGTAACTTCACCATCTCCTCAGCCCAAGAATAGATGTGTTGTTGTTGTTGTTGTCAAAAAGATTTCAGAGCCTGGCAGTGGTGGTGCACGACTTTAATCCCAGAGGCAGGCAGATCTCTGTGGGTTTGAGGCCAGCCTGGTTTACAAAGCGAGTTCCAGGACAGCCAGGGCTGTAACACAGAGAAATCCTGTCTTGAAAAACAAAAACAAACAAACAAACAAAAAAAATCAGAAAGAAGCTGGGTGTGGTGGCACACACCTTTAATTCCCACACTCAAGGCAGAGGCTGGCAGATCTCTGTGAGTTTGAGGCCAGCCTGGGCTACAGGGTGAATTCCAGGACAGCCAAGGCTACACAGAGAAACCCTGTCTCAAAAAAACATTTTTTAAAAAGATTTATTTATTTTTATTTTATGCCTATGAGTGCTTTGCCTGCACGCACGTGAATGCACTGTGTGTGTGCCCGGTGCCTCTGCAGGCCAGGAAAGGTCACTGTCTCCCTAGAACTGAAGCTATGCCTGTGTGCCCGCTGGGGACTGAACAAGGCCCTCTGTAAGAAGCAAGTGGTCTTAACCACTGAGCCATCTCTCCAGCCCTTCTATCTTTCTTGTTGGAGACAGGGTCTCCTGCGGAACCTGGAGGTCATGGATTTGGCTAGGCTGGCTCACCAGTGAGTCCCTAGGACCCACCCCACCTCCCTGGCCCTCCTCATTGTCTGGACTACAGATGTGCACTGCTGTGGTTGGGTTTCATGTGGGTGTTGGGGATCTGAACTCAGGCTGTCATGGTTGTGCAGCTCTTTACCACCTGGGCCATTTCCCTGGCCCCTTCTGTTCTTTAATTTCAGTATATACGACCTGCTCTTTCGGTCTGAAAATCAGTGACCTTGTTTCCAAGCAGGAAGTAAAACAAGGTGTAAGCAGTTGTCTCAATAAGCCTCATTCTCTAATGGAAAACCTTAGGAGGCTGGACATCCAGGCATGTCTTAACTCCTTCAGAACCACACAGGCACTCCTGAAGAGGGAGGTTTTTACTTTTAAAGTCATCTCCAAGTCAATCAGATTTGATTCTCAGAAATGAACTTCTCAAAACCAGGCCTGCCTGAAAGGATGAAGACTTGTCATTACTGGGGGACTATCTGCTTACCAAACAGTAACCAGGCAATTACTTACAGAGCTGGGGAGCAGGTGCCTTCCCTACATGCTAGTCTATCCCTGTAGCCCACTGGCGTTATCCTCCTTCCCATTAAATAGATTAGGTTTGAGAACTTCAGTAACTTGTTTACACAATATTGAAATCTGAACTTGAGTGTGTCAGAAACCCCAAACCAGGCTTTACCACTGTGGTGTCGTCTAGTGTATGTAACATGTGCTTCTGGATGGAAATGATGGGTCATTTCAATTGCTGGATTGTAAACTCTTCAGTAGCTATGGGACTCAGCACATTATGCGAGAGTAATAATATGTGAGAGCAATTTCTCAGGAGATACGTACTGTGTTATTCAAAGAAATACGCAGTACATTCTTGTCAGAATAGGTTTTTTGTTTGTTTGGTTTGATTTTTGGTTCCCGGAGACAGGGTTTCTGTGTAGCCCTGGCTGTCCTGGAGGAACAAGTTCTGTAGACCAGGCTGTCCTCAAACTCACAGAGATCAGCCTGCCTCTGCCTCCTGAGTGCTGGGATTAAAGGTGTGTGCCACCACCTCCCAGCTTGTTTTGTTTTTAAGTAGACAAGGGAGGCTGGGGATAGAGGTCAATTAGTGGAGACTTGCCTCCATGCTCGAGGCCCTGGGTTTGATCCCCAACCACAGAATAAATTGGTACACACCTGTAATCACAGCCCTTGGGAGGTGAACACAGGAAGTTCTAGAGTTCAAGGCTAGTCTCTGCTACATAAGACCCCGTCTCAAAAATAAAATGAGAGATAGCTCAACAGTTAAAAACACATACAGCTTTTCGGGAGGACCTGAGTCCACTTCACATTACCCACAACAGGAGGCTCACAACCATAAGTAAATCCAGCTCGAGGGGATCTAATCCCTTTTTCTGGCCTCCATGGGCACCTGTACTCTTGAGCACATAACCACACAAAGACACCCATACATACTTAAAAATGATACAAATAGAGAAGACAAGAGGCTGGGGGCGGGGTGCAGCTCAATGGTAGTGTTTGCCCAGCAAAAAGGGGGCCTGAGGTTCAGACTCTAGTACGAGAATAACTACTTAAAAAGAGGAGTCTATCCAAAAAAACAACAACAAAAAACAGGTAAAACTTGGAAATTAGAAAACATGAACCCTGGCCCCGAGTTACCGCTTCTTAATGGGTGACCTTGGCTAAATCCATTTCTTCAAATTACATAGGAGATATTACTAATAAGAACATCTGCGATGGCTAATTTATGTCAATCTGGCACAAGCTAGAGTCGTTTGGGAGAGGGAAACTCAACCGAGAAAACATCCACATCATATTGGCCTGTGGGCAGACCTTTGCGCATTTTCTTTACCTGAGGATTGATGTGGTAGGGTCCAGCTCATGGGCTGGTGGTCCTGGACGATTATATACATATACATATATTATATACACATATAATATCAATATACATTATATATTATATACATATATAATATCAATATACATTATATATACATACAAGCCAGGAAGTAGTACCCCTCAATAGGCTCTGCATCCTGCCTCCAGTTTCCTGTCCTGACTTCCCTCAGTGATGCACTGTTATCTGTGAGGTGATAAACCCTTTTCCTCCCAACATCTCTATTTATCTCCTAGGTTGACCACGCGCGCGTGCGCGCGTGCGGGCCAATGAATGTATATGAAAACTGCTGCATAGACCACGAGTCTTACAACATGGCATAACATATCTATGGTCAGAGGAACTTTGCTCCTGTCCAGTATGGTACGGTTAATACATGCTCGACTCGATTCAACGGGTTGTTTAATATATTACTTCCTCCCCTTCCATGTGGACTCACTGCAAATAGCCTTCCTCAAGGCAAACACCAGGTTCGAGTCTTAAGGTCCCCAGTTGTAACTGAATGAAACCATCTTATTAGCAGTTCTTATCCAGGAAACAGGAGCACTTTCCCTGGCTTGAGAATACGAAATCAAGAGGGAGAAGGAAATAATCATACAATAAAGGAAAACCTAGCCAGATTGTTCCGTGCCAGCCTGGACCACATACAAGTGATGTCCAGGTTAGTCTGGACTACAAAGTGAGACCCTGTCTCAAAACAATCCAAACAGGAATGTAGTTTAAGAGTCAATAATTAAGCACCTCACTGCAGTACTGCATTTTAGTACCCCAAACAATTTTTCCTTTTCCACGAATTTTTATTCTGAGGTTTAGAAATTGTTCAAACGCATCTGTATTATAATACGGATTTGGAGGCAACAGAGCCAAGGGTACTGCTGTTTTACATGGGGTTAAAATGAAACTGCAAAGTAGATTGACTTTTAAGTAAGTTTGAGGGTAAGTAATGCGGGGGTCCTAATGGATTTCCAAAACCACTCCCCCCCTCCTGCTTCCACCCTCTCCCGCACAACCAGAAGGATTCCTGAAACTTGCTAAAGGCAGTTTGTGACAAAAGCTAGATTTCCGTCAGCGGCTTTAATTAAAGTTAGCTTTTAGCCTGTGCCCTCGTCATGTGCCAAAGATTTAGATCGGGATTAGCAAACGCTAATCCACGTGTAAAGGCGAAGGGGTAGCCCCCCTGTTCGCACTCTTTAAATGTACGTTTCGACTCCTCTGGTTAGCCTTAATTAATTTCAAGAGCTGTGAACAAATTCCCATCGCTGGTGTCTCCTTTCATCAGCCTAACTTTTAAGCAGGTAACCCACCAAAGTCTGGCCTGGTACATCAAGCTCTGGATAGCCTCTGATCTCGCCTCTGCTCCCAGGACAAGGGCCTGTATGTACTTAGTTCTCACACATTAAAAACTTAATTAACTTGAAGCAGAGTTAAAAATTCTCCCCCAAAGGTAACTGCTAATTTTAGGGCTCTCTTAGATGATTTTGAAGCCACGGACGGCTGTATCTGATGGGACCAGGGATGATAAGAAGTCTCCAAATGTGGGTGGTAGGGGGTGGGGGGTGTCGCCATAGGATGCCTCCAGGGGCGCTGACAAGCCTCAGAAGTGGGAACTGGACTTCCCTGGAACAGGGTCTGGGCGGCTGAGCAAAGCAGGGGGATGGGCAGGGGGCCATCAGGGGAGAAGTCTCTGGCCTTTCCACATCTCTCAACACCATCCCTCCACCCCACCCCCCTCCTCCGTGCAGAATCCTCAACTGGCCGGCAGGAGGGAGAAGGGCCCCGGGGGGCTGGCCGCGGCCAGGAGGATTGGCCTTTGTGGCCCGGTGGCCGGCCGTGGCGCGCAGGCTGAGGGGCGGGGGCCTGACCCCCAGGTGCATTGTCCGGCGGGGCCCTCCCCCTGTCCCCGGGGTCGCCCGAGCGATCGCAGCGTGTCCCTCCGCCAGCAGCGCCGACCTCGCCGTGCGGGGCCCAGGGGCCAGATGTAGAAAGTAGTCCCCGGCCGGCCAGGCTGTCCACTGCGCCGCCCTCTGCAGCCTCCCTCCGCCCCGGGCTGGACGCGACGCGCGTGGTCCCCGCGGCCTGGCGCGCGCGCGCGCGGGGGTCCGTGCGCCTGCAAGCGGCGCGTCGCCTCGCCACGCCGGAGCAGCGGGTGCAGCCGGAGCCGCGGGTCCAGGAGAGCAGCGGGAGCAGCGGGCGCGGGCGCACGGCCCGGGAGCATGCCCGCGCAGCCCCGCTGAATGGCGCCTCCCGTGCGCCCGGGGATGCCGCCCCTGCTGCTGCTGCTGTTGCTGCTGCTGCTGCCGCCGCTCGGCTCGGTTCCAGGTGGGCGCGCTCCCAGAGCGAGTGTGCGCGGCCGTGCGCGGGGAGGGGGACGGGCCGGGATGCCCCGGGTGGTGCGGCCGGCCGGGTTCCCTCGGGATGCGCGCTCCGAGCGCTCCGAGGCCGAGGCCGAGTCTCCCCGGGGCCGCTGTCCACTCGCCCTGCTCACGCCATTGTCCGCGCTGAGGCCAGCCCGGGGTTCCGCGTAGCGTCCCGGGCCGCGGCCGCACGTGGTTTTATTTATATTGTTTCCTGAGTGGCAGCCTCGCCGCGCAGGGGGGCGCCGCGATCGCGCGCCGTTTCTAGGGTTTGCAATGGGTCCCTCAGGTCTCGGGGTGGCCGAGCCGGGCGCCCCCCGCTTCCGCAGCTCGAAACTGAGCAAGGAGATGGGAGGGTGGAATTGCAAGGAGAAGGAGCTTGAAAGTTGCGTGGCCCATTTGTGCCCCCAGAGAGGCAGAGAGGAAGGTGTCTGGATAGAATTTACTTGCTGCATGTAGGTCTCTAAGGTCTCGGCAGGAGGTTCCTGAAACCTTCAGATTAGCCTTGCACAAACTTGCATAAATTTATCTCCCTTTCTTCAATCTTGGTTTCTTCAAAGACGGAAACGTGTAAAGTGAATGTTAGGGGAAGGAGGGGGTTTGAAAAGGTGTTAAGGGGCTTGACTTTTTATAAGTTACAAGCACTGCTTTTTCTTTTTTTTCCCTTTTTCTTTTTTTCTGGAAGAGTTAGTTTCAGTTAGCAAGAGAAAGGATCAAAGTAGGATGCAGCTCAGAAACACAATGGGCGTCTTCCGGAGTGGTTGCAGGCTGCATGGGGCTGTTAGGGTAGCTGCCCTGGGCAGACCTTAGTGGAAGTCCCGAGCTCCAGACTCTGGGGTTTTTCAGGATCTGTCTTGATCGGAAATAGATAAATCATTGCTGTGTATTTGTAATCTGGGCTTCAAACTGAGCAGGAGAAGTGTTTAAAAAAAGATAAAGTCTCCCACCAAGACCCCTAACTTTATGTTGGCCCAGGTCAACGTGCTTTTGCTCTAAATGGAAGAGGCAACACATGCCTTATTCTGGGGGACCAGGGGCTTGTGTGTGCTTGGATAAAGCATTTCCTCTGCTCTGATAAAAATGTGTATTGGTTGATTAAGCAATCTCCTATCCCTATTAGACAGTAAGGACCAATTAGTCACGCATTTTTTTCCAACAGTTGGTAGCTCGAAAAAAGTGAAATAAAGGTTTCCTAATCCGATCACCCACTGAGCACAAGCAGCCAGAGTTACCAACTTTTCAAAGTCTATTGTGTGTCCTTTAAATACCTAGCTGGCTTGGCAGAAATGAAGTAAATGGATTTCTTTTAAGGAGAGGAGACAGCATCCCTGCCGTAAAAGGGCAGATAGGAAAAAAAAAATGCAAACTTGTAATTTGTCACAAAAGATAAACGTGCTTCCCAAAGGAGTAGGTGCCGGGTTTTCCAAAAACACTTCAGGAGACAAGGAAATAAACTCGCTTGTTCACAGAGTTGGAGTTTTGCTAATGATTTCTTGTAAAATTAGACTTTTATGACTTAACCCTGTTCAAGATCTTTTTGACAAGCTTGTAAAAGTAGCATATGGCTTGTGCTGGTGAGTTCTGATGATTTTGGATCTCTGGCCAGAAACCTGAGAACCAAATTCTTAGGCTTCATAGAAGGTATCCGAATCTTCCCATGTTTTGAGTGTAGACATTGTAAAAGGCCACCTCTCCGACTTGTTGAAAGGGTTTGCAGTTGCTAAGGTCCTTGGAAGTTAACCATCGTGGCTGGAGAAAGTGCCTTATACCACAAATATGCGTTTTACAGTTGTGTGCTAGATGACTTTTTACCTGTAATTCTGGATATATCCCTTTCTTCCTTTTTCTTTGCAGGAGTGTGGAGCTTTAGCGAACTGTTTTTCATGAGAGAACCACAGGATGTGACTGTCACAAGGAAAGACCCGGTCCTTTTAGATTGCCAGGCTCATGGAGAAGGTCCCATTAAGGTCACGTGGTTAAAAAATGGAGCAAAATTGTCCGAAAATAAACGGATCCAGGTTCTCTCTAACGGCTCTTTATACATGAGTGAGGTGGAAGGCAGGCGAGGAGAGCAGTCGGATGAAGGATTTTATCAGTGCTTGGCAGTCAACAAATACGGAGCCATTCTTAGTCAGAAAGCTCATCTGACGTTGTCAAGTAAGTGTTTCAGTTCTTCTTGGCGGTAACAGTTTTTTTTATTGGCTTATGAGTAGCACTAAAATCATACACGCGTTAAGAATTTTACCAGAGATGATACAGCTGGCGCTAATGAAGACGTGCAGAGAAATCCGAAACAAGCTTGAGTTGTTGGGAACTAAATGCAAATTAGACTTTGAAAATGCCAGGTGACTATCTTCATTTCAAATGTTGCACACTGTAAGGATTACAGGAAGACGTTTGGCCAGTACAAAGAAAGCTGTTGTAAAATTTCAGTCTTTGGGAATTCACTGAGTGGAAACAATCCCAAGCAAGTCTTTCTGCTGGGTGGCTGGCTCTTGAGTGCTAAATCTTTCTTACAGCCCAACCTTCTATCTCTCATAGATCACCCATGTTGCTTTCTGATTGTAAGAGAGGGAGGGCATTGGTCAGTAACTCTCAAGCCTTTGAAGTATGTTGCGTCTTTTCCAGCTGGGAGGGAAGGAGATCAAGGCCCTTTCTGTAGTAGGCCTAATGGAATTAAACCAGATCTGCTCATTTATTTTCTCCAGTTTTCATAAAGTCTGTTGTCTAAGGATTTCCTTTGTGTTAACATCATCCAAGCAACTGTCAGCCTTATGATCCATTGGGTGGCGGTTGACCTCCCTAACTGCTAGGTGTCAGGACCGGCCTAGGACAGGTAAGGGAACTCTTTCAGGTCACCACCTCTTCATGTGACCAAGCAACACTCCAGGAAGTGGGATGCTGGAAAGAGTTTAACAGCTCGGGCTGTGCTGTTGGCCTCTGAAGGGCAGATCTTTGCACCATACACACACTGACCCGTTCACAAAGTGTACAACGGACGAGCACGTTCTGGAGATAACCACATAACCTCTAGGGAGTGCGTTATCCAAGATCTCCACTCCACAGTTCAAGCTTGGGAGGTGGCTTGGAGTTTCCCAGGTGACTTAACTACAGCTCAGGGGCATGTTTCTGCTGCACTTAGAGAGGTAATTGATGTAAATGTGTGGTGATGATGAATTGTAGAAAATAACCGCAAGCAGAGTGATATTTGTGTTCAACTATGTTGGCAAATTAGAGACGCTTCCAAGCCTCGCCCCACCCCCACCCCCGCCAAAGAAGAGCATAACCCCCCCCCCCCCCCGAAAAGATTTCTGATAAACTCCACCCTCAAGACCCCCTGCTGTTTTCTTTGGCTTTGATCATTGGCCATTGAAATCTTTCTTTTATTGAGTACTAGTTTCGCTGTACAGTATCACTTTGAGGAGAATGTGCATTTTAGCCTTACTCTGTTCACTTGAGTCTTGTGTAATGTACTCTGCGATTCTTCTTTTCCCATCTTTTCAGATTCGTGGAATCATTTTTTTTTTTCCATGCCAAGGAACTATAGTTTGTGTTGCCTTTGTGGGGAAGAGGGTGGTGGAGGGGAGTGGACAGGGTTTAAAAGACAAACATTTATCAGGACCACACTTGCTTCCAGGACCTCCTGAGAAGCCTGACAGAATCCCATAGCTCACCCAGCTTTCTGACTCCATAAATAAAATCTGAAATGAAGCAGATATTACTAACAGGGGCTGGGTTAGTGATGAAGTGTTGGAACATGTGTTTAGCATGCATGAGTGTCTGGGTTCAGTTCTAACCTCCTAAACCACCCCCCAAAACAAACAAACAAACAAACAAACAAACAAAAAACCAAAACAACCCAACCAATCATTCAAAAAACTTTTAACATATTGAGTATCTTCACATTTTTGTATCTTTAAAATTCTTTTTAATAGTACCTATTTGCGTATTAATCATTTTGCAAAGTATTGTGGAAAGGGGATGACCTAATCTTCATGTTATAAATATAAAACTTTGCATTGAAAAATCTGGTGTGCCACATAGCTGTGATCCCGTCATGTGGATGGCTGAGGCAGGAGGATAGCGAGTTCTGGGCCAGTTCGGACTATATATCAAGGCCCTGTCTTAGAAACATTTATTTACCTGCCCCCCACCCCCACCCCCAGCCATCTCACAGACCCTCAGAAACAAACAAAACTTCCCAGATGAACTGCTTAGATGGGGTACTTTCATCCAGTCACGATTATAGATTTTAAAACAAGAAATGCACAGCGGATTTAAATTTAGATTTTTTTCTTTAGAAATAAGAAGGCTCTCCGCGATCCTGGAGTCAAACAGTTTTGTCGTTTAAGAGGCCGTGTCTTGTGACAGGGACTTTAATCGCTCTTCCTGTGCAGATGTTATCCAAAGTGAGCAGGAAGAGAGGAGCATTAAGTGGGCATTCTGTTGTCTCTGTGTTTTCAAAGCTAGTTCTTCCACTTACTGATAGCAGCAGGGTACAAGTGTGTGCTTTTTGTTTCCTGAGGGATTTTATGAGCGAATGCGTCTTTTGGTTTAGTGGTGGTAGCAGCTACCTGTAATCTAACACTTTAATCTGTGCCACTCTGGGGTTTTTTAACACACTGGCTGAGTCTTAGTTTCTGAATTTAGCAGCTAGAAGCGGAAAGTTGCACTCTGGGCCAGAATTCCATTATTCATGTGTAAATTAGGAATCGGCAAGGTTAAAAGGTTAGACGCTGGCCGGGGTGAGGTTTACCCTGTGATAAAGAGCAGATGACCCTCATTCATTGGCCCCAGCTTTCATGTGGCTCTTCTGCAAAGTTGCTTATTGCCATGAATTGTTCTTGAGGAATGCAGAATTCGAATGCGAGCAGGCCCTTCCTTAAGTGTCACTGTGGGGCCTTATCTCGCAGCACATCAGCGCAGGGCTCTTCCCCAAGGCCTGGAGGCTTGGCTTTCCGGTTGTGCACCCAAGCACAAAAGAATGTGTCTAGCTTACTTTTGCCAAGGCATCCCGTTTTTGAAAGGAAAACATAGGGTTAAAGTAATATATAGCTATTTTTTAAGTAATCCTTTGTATTGATAGCCATTTTCTTGTCCCCTTTTTACAATTTTCATGTAATTAGAAAAGAGAGGGGAAGGATGTGGGGAGCCCAGTTGCATATAATGCTAATCAGATCATTAAAATAGGGGCTAGAAATGTAAATAGGTTAAGTTTTAGTACATCGAAATTTCACCGACTTGAGTGCTAAGTCTTTCTTATATAAACACTGCAATTAAAATATTTTAGGAATACCAAATGACCAGAGAGCTGTCTTGATGATCCTCGAGTCCTTAATGCTGGCGTAAGATAAATCTCATAGGAAAACATTAGTGTGCTTTAAACAGTCTCATATTTCAACAAGTTTAAATTAAGATAAGGCAAGTAAAGGAGGAGGCGGGCGGGCGTATGCTGTGATGTGTAAAAGTCTGGCCAGCAGCGAGGACTGAACAGGAAGCTCGCTGTTTGTTTCCTTTTCATAAAAGGTGGAAATTGAAGCCTCTGGATAGGATGAGAGCACATAGGAATTCTCTCAACTTCATAATGCTTTTTAAAAATTTGAGGTTAATTTTAGCCCCACTGAAGTTGTCTAGGCAAACCATTTCTATGACTTTTAAGTGGCAAGAAATCATTGCCTTTAGTAGGACATGTTTTTCATGAATAACATGCAACTGCTTCAGTTTAAGATTTTTATTTTGTGGGTGTAATTTATCAATTATTACCTAAAGTTTAATTTGAAATGTAAAGAACATTAAAAGCATTTAAAACAGCGGGGCGGTGGTGGCACATGCCTTTAACCCCAGCACTCGGGAGGCAGAGGCAGGTGGATCTCAGTGAGTTTGAGGCCAGCCTGGTCTACAAGAGTTCCAGGACTGTTACACAGAGAAACCCTGCCTCAGGGGAAAAAAAACAAAACAAAACAAAACAACAACAACAACAAAAAACTTTTAAAATAATGTTTGGAAAGGGGGATGGTGAGTTTGTAGATTTCTAGGGGGCGTATCTTATCTATGAGACACACAAACTCTTAGCAGTCACCTGCCCTAATTCAGCAGTTCTATCACGGATCTCACAGTCGTATTTTGAGAGACCAGTCTGCCAACCCTGTAAAAATAAGGCTAAGTTACTGCTTCCCGATATCCTAGAGAGTGTGTGGGTTGAACGATCTGTTTAAATTCCCTTCAGTTGTCCTGGCTACGTGACGTCAGCTCAGTAAAAGCTGCACACACCTGGTCCTGCAGGCTTCTCCTCAGCCACCCTGCCCTCTGAAGATCTCTCTACTTAAGGTCTGCTTATCAGGGGCCTGATAATCTGGGCCAGGGAACCAGTTTTTCCGAGCTGATGTGTGATTCTCATCTCATTTTCTGCCACTGGTAACACTAGCTCCCTCTTTTCAAAGTGGGTGGATTTTTTTTTTCTTTCTTTTTTTGAAGCAAAGCAGGATCCAGCAAGAGGGTAGAGTTCTATGTTTCTTGAAGACACACACACACACACACACACACACACACACACAAAACCCGCACAAATGTGTTTGTTTTATTTCTCCCCATTTGTAAAATGAAATCTCAAAAGGGGCCTGGGTCTATACACTTTCGGTCAGCTGTCTCTGATGATTCCGAAGAAAGATCTTCACAGCCGAGGGCTTGTTTGTACAACCCCTGGGCATCTGTGCTCTCAAATTTAACAGCTGGGCCTGTCCAGGAAGCCCCCAGCAATTCAAGAGACCAGCAGAAAACTAATCTTTGAAGCAAGGCTTTAGGTTTAATTCATATTTCAGCTAATAAACCAGATGCCTTTGCGGTTACCTCTGGGAAAGCCATATTTTTAACTGTGGGTGGAAGACAAGGTCTTATAGCCAGAGTTGTTCAGCTAGGGTCGCTGCTAGTAAACTAGGATTCAGCTAGTAAACTGATGAAGACTTACTTGCAGAATAATCAGCCATGTTGAGTCATGATTGCTCTCTTTAAAAAAAAAAAAAATATATATATATATATATATATATATATTTATTTATTTATTTTTATTTTATGCCTATGGGTGAGTGCCTGCCTGCCAGTCTGTGCACTGCATACATGCCTGGTACCCATGGATGCTGCCAGATCCCCTGAAACTGGAG